GTATTAGGTTAGGGTTACAGTTTGGTGTATGGGTAGTAGAAGAGTGTTATTAGGTTAGGGTTACAGTTTGGTGTATGGGTAGTAGAAGAGTGGTATTAGGTTAGGGTTAGGGTAACAGTTTCGTGTATGGGTAGTAGAAGAGTGGTATTAGGTTAGGGTTAGGTTTACAGTTTGGTGTATGGGTAGTAGAAGAGTGGTATTAGTTTAGGGTTAGGGTTACAGTTTGGTGTATGGGTAGTAGAAGAGTGGTATTAGGTTAGGTTTACAGTTTGGTGTATGGGTAGTAGAAGAGTGGTATTAGGTTAGGGTTACAGTTTGGTGTATGGGTAGTAGAAGAGTGGTATTAGTTTAGGGTTAGGGTTACAGTTTGGTGTATGGGTAGTAGAAGAGTGGTATTAGGTTAGGGTTAGGGTTACAGTTTGGTGTATGGGTAGTAGAAGAGTGGTATTAGGTTTGGTTACAGTTTGGTGTATGGGTAGTAGAAGAGTGGTATTAGGTTAGGGTTAGGGTTACAGTTTGGTGTATGGGTAGTAGAAGAGTGGTATTAGTTTAGGGTTAGGGTTACAGTTTGGTGTATGGGTAGTAGAAGAGTGGTATTAGTTTAGGGTTAAGGTTACAGTTTGGTGTATGGGTAGTAGAAGAGTGGTATTAGGTTAGGGTTAGGGTTACAGTTTGGTGTATGGGTAGTAGAAGAGTGGTATTAGGTTAGGGTTAGGGTTACAGTTTAGTGTATGGGTAGTAGAAGAGTGGCATTAGGTTAGGGTTAGGGTTACAGTTTGGTGTATGGGTAGTAGAAGAGTGGCATTAGGTTAGGGTTAGGGTTACAGTTTGGTGTATGGGTAGTAGAAGAGTGGTATTAGGTATGGGTTAGGGTAACAGTTTGGTGTATGGGTAGTAGAAGAGTGGTATTAGTTTAGGGTTAGGGTTACAGTTTGGTGTATGGGTAGTAGAAGAGTGGTATTAGTTTAGGGTTAAGGTTACAGTTTGGTGTATGGGTAGTAGAAGAGTGGTATTAGGTTAGGGTTAGGGTTACAGTTTGGTGTATGGGTAGTAGAAGAGTGGTATTAGGTTAGGGTTAGGGTTACAGTTTGGTGTATGGGTAGTAGAAGAGTGGCATTAGGTTAGGGTTAGGGTTACAGTTTGGTGTATTGGTAGTAGAAGATTGGTATTAGGTTAGGGTTAGGGTTAGGGTTACAGTTTGGTGTATGGGTAGTAGAAGAGTGGTATTAGGTTAAGGTTACAGTTTGTGGTATGGGTAGTAGAAGAGTGGTATTAGTTTAGGGTTAAGGTTACAGTTTGGTGTATGGGTAGTAGAAGAGTGGTATTAGGTTAGGGTTAGGTTTACAGTTTGGTGTATGGGTAGTAGAAGTGTGGTATTAGTTTAGGGTTAAGGTTACAGTTTGTGGTATGGGTAGTAGAAGAGTGGTATAGTCTATATGTAGGATTTATAGTCTCATGTTAGTTTAAACTTTGGGGAAAATAGGGTTAGGGATAACACTGATCCACGCATGGGATACGATGACAGGCATCATCCAATCAATTCAAAACAGCGAGCAAGAACAGGCTGCATTATCGGAAATGTGTCTTTCATAGCAATGAGCATTTAGATCACTACACCCAAGTTGAGGTGAGAATGTACAATCTGACAAAATCTACTTTACAAATTTAGGTCAATATACAAATTGATATTTTTATTTTTTTTAATACTCTCTTAAATTCATTACCAGTTTTTGCATTAATAACATGATAAAGGCAAAGGTTTCAGTGCTTAATGGTATTTGTTTTAAAACTTTTAGTATAATAATTCGTCCTATATCTCATAGTCTCTTTCGACTGTCTCTCTCAATCTATAGCTACTGTTAGCAGGGACATTTTGAGGTCTTAGGTGCGGAAGATATTCAGGCATGAAGCGATTGATCATTTTATAGAAAAGAGTTGTCGTATTTGGACTGGTAGGAAATTAGTCTCAGCATACAAGACCTGTACCTCTGGTTGCTCCGCAAATTGTCCTTATTGGGTCTAGCTGTTAATTTTCAAGCATCATTTCTTGTTCTTTCGTACAATTATCTTAAAGATGATAGTAATAATCAAAGACTGGAATGATGTAAGACTTGTACATAATTTCTAGCGATCTATGTGACAGGCGGTAAATGAGACTACCTAGACAATTCACCAGAGGGCTTACCTTTCTAACAATACTTTATGGAAACAATCATTATGGAAATTCCATAAGCAATCGTGTTGCATGTTAATCATAAATGTTAATGCATATCAACGTCAATCATAATAAATGCTTTAATTTGAATACAAAGCTCACTGTTAGGAAATTTTCTTCCATGAGAACAGGATAGTTTCTGTTTTTTTGTGGATTAAAAAAGTAACTTTCCATTCATCAGCTGACTGATAATGTTATCGAGGTCATTGTAATAACTTGAAGTCTTTCTTTCTAGTTATGATTTCTTTATTCTTCCCTGTTTTGCATTCTGTCTATTCTTTACGTTCTTTTCTTTTCCTTTTCCATAAGTGTCTTTCTTTCTTAACTAGAACCTAGTGTTATTTTCAGATTTTTGCAGTGATACTGGGCTCTTCAATGACTATATATAGATATAGCATCAGCAAAAAGGCAAATATTACTATCAACATGATCATTAACATCTTGAATGTACACTAGGAATAGAAATGGTTGTAAAATGGACCCCAGAGGGACACCAGCCATTATAGATTGCCACCCAGATCTACTCTCTGTTGTCAGTATTCAAGGTGGCTGCCAAACCACTGTAGTAGATTTCCATCGATACCACATGACTGCAGTTTGAACAATATACTTTTATGCCATATTCTATTGAAAGCCTTGCTAACATCGCATAACACCAGCTCTATTCCCTTTGCTCTATCCAAAGCATTAGCAATAAATCATAGATGAGTTAGCTGATAAACAGTACTGTCTCCCGGCATGAATCTAGATTGTAAGTTAGTTCAAATAGTATTATCTCTGAAGAAATTAAACACGTACTTGAGAACACACTTGTCGAAGATTTTTGCCAAAGAACTAGTAAGCATTGGATTCGGAAAATTTTATATACTTTGACTTAAAATAAGGTACTCGATATTGTCATATTGTCCATGCTTGTGTAAGACTTGGATGCATTGGTCTCAATAGTCATAGAGTTGAAAGACATATTTCAAATATTGCAGCATGTCAGTGTGGATTTTATTTGGAGTCTCAAATGCACTTCCTCTTTACTTGTACTAGGTATCGTAACATAAGGGTTTTGATCTGAAAACAGCATTGTATGGTGACAAGAATTTAACAAGAGATGTGAACCACAACATACTTATGTCTGGCCAGGATTTGATAGAAAACAGTGGTAGGTTTGTACATTGAGTATAAATAGATGATACGCTTACACACATATGACTGTCGTGTTGGTAACATGAGTGATCTTGTTACTCTATAATTCTTGACCTTAAAGTTTTCATGTCAACACAAATGTAATTATGTAACAGGCAGTGGTATTTACAGAAGCCAGTTAGGCCTGTTCACCAATCCCTTTCAAGTTCAGTTGAATAAAATAGGTTTACACTAAACTAGTAAGAGCAACTGGTCTGTTGTTCGAACATTCATCAATGCTACCCTTTTTATAAATAGATATTACAAAAGATTTCTTCCATACAAGTGGAAACATTGACTTACACAGGGAGTTCAAGTTGCTTCAGAGGGTCTGATCTAGAGGCTGCAATTAATTTCAATAATCTACTGCTAACTCCATCTGGTCCCGTAGCTTAAGCTATGTTATGTTATGTTATGTTATTATGTTATGTTTGTTGTTTAACGCCGCACTCAGCAATATTCTTGCTATATGACGACAGTCTGTAAATAACCAAGCCTGGACCAGACAATCCAGTGATTGACATCATGATCATCGATCCACACAATTAGGATACCATGACATGCATCAACCAAGTCAGAGAGCCTGACCACCTGATCCCGTTAGTCACATCTTATGCCAAGCATAGTCGGCTTAACGACAAGCGTGGGTTGCTGAAGACCTATTCTACCCCAGATCTTCACGGGTCTGTAAATACGTAGCTTTAGTAGTATCAATTGACATAGGAACATCTAGGACTACTCACTCCTTTCTTGTTCACTTTATACTTGTAACATTGTTATGGGTAACATAGAGGGGCAGCTCTGTCTGCATGTAGAACTGTTCTGTAAAATAGTCAGTAAGTACACAGCAAGTTGGATGAAGTACATTCATCATAAAGGATACCATTGTTGTATATAGGTGCAAAGACGCAATTTGCAGTTGTTACAGTTTTCATAAAATTATTAACAAGCTACCACCATGTTTTGGGATTAAGTTGTTCTTTATTTGTGCATCTATCCTTGATAAAAAAAATTCATTTGCCAAGAGGTCAAATATCCGCCTAGATAAGGGTTTACATATATTCTATCTGCTGATCTCTCAGCAAACATGCATGATGGCCAAAGAAACCACAGCTGCTGTTTTAGCAATTATCTTTCAACTTTCGAACTTTGTTTTATAATGTTGATTCTATGCATGCCAGATAAAATGCTTCTGCTCCACGTAAGAATCTCAATCGGAATCAAGTTTTGTAAGGAACAGATACACTGGACATGTTTGATAAGCGCCTTGACCCCTAACTAAACCAAATACCTCCGTATCACAATCAGCTGTTAGTGGCGGGTCAGGCGGACAGGGTCGATGGAGGTTAATCACCAAGGACAAGTCCAGCATTTGTAAAAGGGTGGGGTCTATAAATATATAAATTCATAAAGATTTTAAGCCTTAAACATTCGGGGGGGGGGGGGGGGGGGGGGGGTAGAAGTGTGGGTCGCCATCGAAGCTCTCGGCTATAATTCGTATTGCAATCGATGACAACCCAGTATCTTACACTAAGTCCCCTGAAAATAATCAAATAAACTTATATTTGATTATTAGGAACATGCATCCTTAGCCGTTGCTTCGTCCTACCATGATTGTGAAAACGTCCCGACTCTCCGTAATGCTTGAGTTGACCACGCCATTGTGACTTCGTCTTCTGAACTGTTCTACAGAGCAGTTGCCTCCCTTTGATCCGCAGGTCACGTTATACTTTTCAGGTTAATATGGTTCCGCCCATGTTTGGGGGGCAAGACGTAAAACTTCATAGGCTGGAGTTCAACACATTACTTCGACAGGACCAAAAATGTCAGTGCATAAGCAACATGTCTTGGTAATACGGATATCAAGACACATGTCTGTGATTCTGTTTGATCTAAGGACATACATAGAAATATTGCCATAATCAACTTTTTTTTTACAAAACCCTTCACCTCCATCTGCATAATTATGGACTGTTCCTGAATTAATGGAGAGGGACAATAACAACAAAAATGGCGACGTCAACTTATTGACATTAACAGGCCGTACACGATATCGACATGGCGGACGGCCATGCAGAAGAACTTCTAGACATTGCAAGCATAGAACATCAACAGAGAATTAATCCTTTTGACATCGAAACTCCGACAGAGACGGCCAAGGGAAGCAACCCGACCCGGCCTTGCTTGAAACGGGCTGGTAGCGATCCCTCAGCAGCCAAGAGAACTGTTATCGGTCATTCGCAATCTGATCGTCCTGATTATGTCACCACGACCGGGGCCCGCCCCCGCGATGTGTCGACTCACTCAGGTGGAGAGAGGGTCCGAGCAAGAACCCGCACGCGCCACACGCACGCCATCCATCCGTTGTACGTGTCTCGTGCAACAGGTGAATCTCGCTACGGAAGTGGAGGATTACGCACAGTCGACATGTGAGTTGTTCATGGCGTTATGTCATCAGTCTTTGATCAATTACAGGTGTGACAGTCTTGTCTGCGAACATCAGAGCTTCAGTTAGATATAGCAGACCAAGTCTTCTTTGGCGTATTAAAGTTTATGTTAATGTTAAAGTTAATGTTTGTATTATTGATACAAATTGACAGAAAAATCTGCCAATTTATCTAACTGATTGGCTAAAAGTTATTAACATGATTAAGACGGTCAAATACATCACAATAGATTAATTATGCAAGGATTAGAATCCAAACAATATACAAATGTACATTTAATCCTAACATTGTCAGTCACTTGGTGATGATATTAAAAATAAAAATGTTTGGAATTCGTTATCACAACAATACAGATGGACATATTTTTCAGTCAGTTTGTAAAAGAACTGAATATTTTGGCGTTTAATAAATTTACTAAGTGAAAACTTTGCACATTTTGACTGCAAAAATATAAACACGATAAAATAAAGCAATGCTTAGGTGAAATATTTGTGTTGCAAGTCAAAATAGTGTAAACGAAAATCGTACAAAACCAAGCATGTGACTTATCAAAACTTCGTCACCATTACCGATGCTACCCACAAAGATACCTTAGATACCTTAGATTTCCTTATTAATTCCAAAACTGTATTTCATTTTGTTGATCAATGGGACCATACGCCCTTATACTATCAATAAAAGTGACAAATGCGCTTACGAATTGCACAGCACAGGTCACAAACTAGTCTAGATATCTGCTTTATCATCCGGGTACTCACAGGGAAAAAACAATAACAAAGGCAACAACCAGTCCCGGGGAAATTGCTTAAGATAAGTGCCCCTTTAAAGTCACTAATGTTAACATTTCTTTCTGACTAAGCACTCATTCTTTCTGATCTTTATAGGTTTGAATTAAGTTAAGACTTCAGTCAACTTCAGTGTATGCATGACCAGATTGTTTTATACATGTCATCCTTATCAGACATTTTGTAATCAACTCTTGAGACGTACAACAGGTGTTCAGTAAGTAAATTTGGACTCGTCCCATCCCTAGTAGGGTCCCAGTCCACCCAAATGCCTCAAGATATGTATTAATTCTTCTGTGATTAGAAAATATGGATACACAAGTGTTGTATTGCGAAAGAAAGACGTTGGTACTTTTTGTTACACTGCCTGGCATCGGCATGAATGGGATAACACAAGGACTTGTGTCAATAGACTGTGTGAGAGTTGCGTATCCATGTGAAACTGTGGCATGGAATCTCAGTGGGCTTGAAAATGGTGTGCATACTGATCCTTTGCATGGGTTACCCGGTAATAATAATATAAAGCATCTGCGAACAGTCTAGCTGTAACTCAGCGCTATAGAGAAGATCCTTATATTTATTCTTACACTGAATGGGGGGATGGGGCTTGATGTACAAGGGATCAGTGTCTTACTTGTACTGTATTGAGGGTGTTCCTATACAGTTGGTTTGCATGGCGCTGAGGAAAGGCTATATATGATGGAGCTTGACAACTGTTAGTCTTGATTAGAATATAACCTTTTTTACAAAGCATGTGTGTCTCCATTTTAACTCAGTTCACATCATGGAGAATAACTGTCAACATAGTGTTTATATTTTTCACGTTCCGTGTATTATCACCTCATGTTAGAAAGGTGAGCTTCACTACCTGGGTTCAGCTCAGGCAGTAACATGGCACTGGCAACATGTGTCCCTTCCAGCTTGGTATATATGGCAGGTGAGGTTTATTACAACTCTGGTTCCAGGTCCCAAGGTCCAGACTCTGTCAGTTCGTTGATGTCCTCACCAGACCGGTTCCTGGCCTCTCAGGGTTCGCCGTACTTGTCACAGCTCATGTCGGTGGTGCAGTCCATGGATGATGGCCTTCACCACAAGAACATCAAGATGTCGCGCCGCCTCCCCAGCTGGATGTGGTATCTCCTGGCGCGGTCACTCGGCATCAAACTCAACCCTCTGGACAAACCCATATTTGCTACGTTGCTACACATCATCACCCTCACAGCCGCCGTGACGTTTGGAATTACTGGTGCTTGGTACAATGTGTGTGATATTCTGAGTGAATACTCCAAGACAACAGTTCTTATCGGCACAGTAACCATGATGATTGGCTTTGGGTGGATCCTGCTTGGGGTTTATGCACACAAACTGGCCGGGAAATTGTTCAGTAACAAAAACTTTGCAGAGAGTGTGCGCATGCATTCAAAGACGTTCCTGAAGATCAGCACTGCTGGTCTTATGTCTATCCTTGGGTTAGGGCTTGTGGGGATCAACTCGTATGATGGTTTTGACCTGTTCTTCAGCTCTTCTTGTACCAAGATACAGCTGCAGCCGATTGTGTGTCACATCCAGTTTGTGTCAAAGACATTCTACGCGTTGCTTTGCGTCCTGTGGACTCTTCTGGTGGGCTTTGTCATGCTGTCCGTTTGTCGAACACATACTATAGGTGAGTCTGTGTTATACTATAGGTGAGTCAGTGTTATACAATAGGTGAGTCTGTGTTATACAATAGGTGAGTCTGTGTTATACCATAGGTGAGTCTGTGTTATACCATAGGTGAGTCTGTGTTATACCATAGGTGAGTCTGTGTTATACAATAGGTGAGTCTGTGTTATACAATAGGTGAGTCTGTGTTATACAATAGGTGAGTCTGTGTTATACCATAGGTGAGTCTGTGTTATACCATAGGTGAGTCTGTGTTATACCATAGGTGAGTCTGTGTTATACTATAGGTGAGTCTGTGTTATACAATAGGTGAGTCTGTGTTATACTATAGGTGAGTCAGTGTTATACTATAGGTGAGTCAGTGTTATACAATAGGTGAGTCTGTGTTATACAATAGGTGAGTCTGTGTTATACCATAGGTGAGTCTGTGTTATACCATAGGTGAGTCTGGGTTATACCATAGGTGAGTCTGTGTTATACTATAGGTGAGTCTGTGTTATACCATAGGTGAGTCTGTGTTATACCATAGGTGAGTCTGTGTTATACCATAGGTGAGTCAGTGTTGTACCCAAGGATAGTCAGTGTGATACCATAGGTGAGTCAGTGTTGTACCATAGGTGAGTCAGTGTTGTACCATAAGTGAGTCGGTGTTACACAATAGATGTGTTAGTGTTACACCGTAGGTGAGTCAGTATATAGCATAGGTAAGTCAGTGTTATACCATAGGTGAGATAGTGTTACTCCACAAGTGAGTCAGTTCCATACTACAAGTGAGTCAGATCCATACCACATGTGAGTCAGTTCCATACTACATGTGAATCAGATCCATTCTAAAAGTGAGTCAGATCCATACCACATGTGAGTCAGTTCCATACCACATGTGAGTCAGTTCCATACCACATGTGAGTCAGTTCCATACCACATGTGAGTCAGTTCTATACCACATGTGAGTCAGTTCTATACCACATGTGAGTCAGTTCTATACTACATGTGAGTCAGTGTCACACACAATGTGTTATACGTTATATTGCAGGTGTTCGTCGGTTTATGCGTGAAATGACAATGGATGCCAAGGTGTATGAAGCCTTCTGGATGGAGCAGGTGTTGGGGCAAGTCCCCCTGAAGCAGAAGGAAGGGGACCAGCAAGTCGAGGAGGGTAAACAATCTCAAGTAGTGCATTTTGTCAATCTGTGTTTGTTTAATTTGGAACCAGCATTAATGTTATGTTAAAGATGTTTGTGGACATGGTTATGAGTAACTGTGTGCAGCACTCTCTCCCTACATGACAACTGGCCATGGCTGTTCAGGAGGGTTTGGACAAAAGCAAGGAAAGAGAATCTATTTTCAGTGCTCCGTCTTAATCTTGTATTAGTGTAGTACATGTACAAGATTTTCCAATTTGGGATTGAGGGCAAACATATTCAAAAAATATTCATTGGCGTTGAAAAGTCTGAACTTTACTCAACAACATAAGTTCTTGATTGTTGGTTGTTGTCTACTGGGGCTGATACTTTATCAGAATAAATTACATGTGTCTCCATGTCCATCTTGTGACAGAGTGGTTCATCTGGGATGATCTTGCCATGAACAGCGACTTCGACAATGACGTGGTGACGTCCCAAGGGGTGTTTCTCGAATCGATTTGTGGACCAACATTTTCTCCTGTGAGATCTCGCGGTAGCCGGTGCCGGGCCAGGTCGGAACCCATCACTGACCACTCAAACACGTCAAGAGAGAATGATGTCAGATCAGCAGAGGAGGCTGACAGGGAGGTAAGTAGCAACATCACCGTTGTCTAACAGTTGCAAGTGACCCGTGAAGATCCAGCAACCCATGCTTGCCATAAAAGGCGACGATGCTTGTCATAAGAGGCGACTAACAGGATTGGGTGGTCAGGCTCGCTGACTTGGTTGATGCATGCCACCGTATCCCAATTGCTTGGATCGATGCCCATGATATCAATCACTGGATTGACTGGTCCGGACTCAATTATATACAGACTGACATTATATAGCTGGAATATTGCCGAGTGAGGCTTTGCACAACAAACAAACAAACAAACAAACAGTAGTGTTCCTTGTACAGGTTCAGAGAGCGAGCTTCACTGTGAATGTTCATGGGGACATTTGAACACCTTTGTGGCACATTACTTGCTCCACCGATTTACCGGTGATGCTCTCTCTCGCAAGTGCTGCTGCAGTAGTTTATGCCTGGACTCAAGAGTCACTTGTTAGTGGCTGTCTCAGCCAAACTAAAACACCTCACAAGAGAGGGGTTACAGACATGTTGAGGGTTATGTCAAAACTCAAAGTCTGGATGTATACAATGGAACACCTTCTCCACAGCTGTAGTTTTTGATAACTACCGAATATCGCTGCATATTAAGCGATGTCACATTTAAGGCGACCCCTGTACACGCCTTTAAAATCGACCCCAAATCCTATACTCCATGGGCGGTATTCATAAAGAAACTAAGATTTTTCTTAAGTCTTAACTTAAGTTTTAGAAATCTGACTTAGCTAAGTCTGAGACTTAACTTGATATTCATAAAGATGCTAAGTCCGAAACTTAGCTAAGTCTCAAAAGAAAAACTAAGTCAGTTTCGTAGTACGTACCCGCGTGATCACTAGGGGGAATCCCGGCTATTTTTAAACTTCCGGTGGAACTCTTTAAAAAAAAAGGTGTGAACGTCTTTTTCGGTGGGATTTCCCGGTTGCTATTTACGGCAGACGACACACACAGCGAAACTTTGTCCACATTGCCAACGTCATGTCAGAGGCAGATATGAAGAAGAGGAAGCCTAACTGGACGAAAGAGGAGGTTTTACTGTTGACGGAACTAGTGAAAGCAAATGTACATGTGTTGGAAGGAAAGTTTGGTCCGGGCGTGACATCGGCGAGGCGTCAAGAGGCGTGGCAGGTACAGTGACACTTATCGTTGTCTGTCACTCGGGCAGTCGTTGTACACAAATGTAGTATTTACACCAGACATGAGTTTTATAAAGTTATATTTTAGCAGTGAACATCTACTAATTTAACTTATCCGAGATATATTAGTACGCCAATCAAGCGATTATAAATGCATGATTTACCACTGCATGTAGATTTAATGCAACATTCTACCACTGAGCATGAAATCATCACTATTGGGGATTGGTCCTGTTATCAGTGGAATTTAAGTCACCTCTGCTATAGCCATAACATATTCTATTACTATCATAAACTGGGACATTTGTTATTTCCAATTTGAGTTTTGTTACTGACAGTGCCCTTGCAGCAGACTTTGGGCTAAATATGAAATCTTGAAGTGATATCCAAAATATTAACATCTTAATTGTCGGCTGAATAAATTAACTTGAGAAAAATATTTTTTATATATATTTGGGATCAGACTACTTTTTTAATATAATCTCAGCACCCTCACAAAATGTTTGGCCCCTTATTATCTTCATATTTCCACAATTGTAAGACACTTACTACTTTCCCTTAACTCTACAGGTTATTACAGCTACCCTCAATTCCTCTGGTTCACACCCGAGAACAAAGGAAGAGGTGGAAAAAAAATGGAAGAATGTGAAAAGCCAGGCAAAACACAAGTACTCTGAATTTGGGAAACTGACAAAAGGAACTGGCAAGTACTTTTCTTCCCTTCATACATACTGTATACAAGTCAGGGTTATTGCATGACAACTCTTCTATCAATGGTCATTATAAATACGGTATTACCAATAGATCAATTATCAATCATAATGTTCTGTGTATTTTTGTATGAAGAATATTATTTCCAAAATACATTTAGATAATGATGATGATTAGAAATTTCATTATCTTATCCCTTCCATTAACGAACATATATAATAAAATTTTAAACGATATAAAAAATTACAGTTTGTAATTAAATGTTTATACAGGAGGTGGACCAGCACCAGCACCAGCACCAGCACCAGCACCAATCAGCCCAGTGACCAATGCAGTCATTGATATCTTAGGCCAGGACAACGTGACCCTTACTGTGTGACACGACAATGCTGCAGGTGCTGCATCTGATGCCACCTACTGACAGGTACATCAATGATATGAGATACCTTTCGGGTTAGAAAATTATCATGGTTCTGTTCTGACATAAATACTGGGTGCTTGGAAAGAGATTATGGTATCACTATAGACGAGCTTGTATATGGCTTATCCTTAATGAGTCCAAATTGAAGTATTTTCTGAATGTTATTCTAGTATAGGTGATGACAGATTTGCTTAAATAAAATAGTTCAAGGCAATCTATAACACTATCTTTTGTCTTATTAGATATTATGTCTGGGAGATGGGATCTTGTTACCTTTGGCTAGTTTTTATCTAAAAGCTTTGAATCTATAAAACCATGTATACATAACTTTTGTCTTGTTGAATAGTATGTCTGGGAGATAGGTTCATGTTACCTTAGCTAGGCTAGCATCTATCTAAAAAGTTTTAACTGAAACTACTAATATTTGCATTTTCCCTGGATCCTAATATGTATAGCTTGCTGTTCTGTAATCACATGAAATTTTGTATAAATGTTGCACCATGAATAACTTATAAAACCACTTGCTGTGGACCTAATTATTATTTGAAAACTTAGTATAAATGTATATTTTTTTATATAATATCAACACCTCAATTGTGCACAAATTAAGTCAATTGTTATTTAAACAATTGTGATATGATTATAAATGTAAATGTTCTCATTATAATAACACAAAACAACAGGCTTGTTGAAATTGAAAAGAACATTTATGTGAAAATTACAATTAAAACTTTAATATTTTCTGTTTCAGGGAGATTTATGACACTGCCATGTCAGATCCACATCCTCAACCAGAAGGAGCCAACATGTATTCTAAGGAGCCAGATGTCACAGGGTCCCTCACTTCACCAACCGTGGAAACTCTGTTGAAGCAAAAATTAAATCTTGAAATTGAATGCCTCACTTTGAAAAAGGAATACCTTAAATTGAAAATCACGAAACTGAATTAGCTAAAAGTATCATACATGTTGTTTGGGCATTAAAGAATTATTTATATATTTGAATATTAAATGTCACAATACATACTAAGCCAAATGTTATGATACAACAGATTCTGGTAGAAAGAACATTGTGGAACATTTTTCATAAAGAGTACATTGCATTTAGAATATTGCATATTTAAGAGGGTGAGGGATAATTAAGATGATTAAAAACTAAAGATACTTTGCAAAGAATGTACTGCTGATACAAATTGGATTTATTATGAGGAAATGTTGAAAATTAAAATAAAATAATCTTACATGGAAAGTTGGTATTGGCAAAGTGCTCCCGGTATCTGAGTGCAGCTACTGGTGGAGCAGTCACTGCTTGAGCTCCATTCTGCCCATCAAGCCTGCCAAGTCCATCATGCCCATCAGTGGGTGGAACTGGGATATGTCTGTCCTTGCATATGTTGTGTAGGACAGCACATGCTATTATCACCTAAAATATGAAATCATTAATGATAAATTAACATCATTACACTTAACATTTAGGCTTTTACATGGCCTCAGTTGAACATACAAATGTTAATGTAAATAACGAATAAGTTCATACAACCCCATCATTTCCTGATCATCTCCACATGCACATTAACAATTCTATACTTCAAATATTTATGAATTTTCCCTTATCTGCTCCTAGTCATTACCAATCTACAACTGCCCTGTTATTGCCTTAAATACAAAACTGTATATATATTCACTTGATTTAGATACAAGTCAATCTGAACAAGTTCATGTCCATGTACAAACTTTAATAGATGATGAGCCACTGCATTGTTGTTTTCATATTCTCAATGGCATTTGTTAACATAAATTCAAACAACCATGTTTGAAATAATTATGTAACTCAATAAAATCTTGTTGCTTTTTTCAATCATTGCTTTCCTCTCTAGGAATTGCTATTTTATATATTTATTGTCATTTAGCTTTGTTACATTTTTGTTCTGTTGAACTTATTTGTGTGGCAAATAAATAGTGCACACAAATTAACATTTGTTGATCATAATTTTTACCTTACAAGCCTTCTCAGGTTTTAACCTGATTTCCCCATGGAGAACAGGAAATCTGCGTTTCAGTTGACCGATGGCCCTTTCTACTATGCTCCTGGTTCTTTTGTGTGACCTGAAAAAAACATAACATATCAGAGTGTAACCTGTAACATTAATCTTCAACAGGGTTTAAGAAATATATATTTATCTTTTTATTGATAAATGTCACTTGTTGAAGAAATAATTTTGATCATGTGAAAACAATAATTTACACTTTGGATTATGTAGGAAATTCATACTGGTAATGTTTAAAAAAAATATTCCTAATTACCACAAATATTCAGCATGTTAACCAAAACAGCACATAATTACTTGTACATTTAGAACAACTAACAAAGACATAATAATAGATTTTGAAATAAAAACATATGGTTATGGTGTGAATAATATTCCGTATTTTATTAAGAATGTTTTTGTAATTGCTTCGATTATCCAGACCAAATATTGCGTTTGTGCAATGGGCAAATATGTAATCGAGGTAAATACAAGGGACATCACTCTAAGTTGTTAAATACGATCGGCAACGTAACACGAAACTTTACATACCTGTTGTAGTTTGTTTGTGGTCCCGGCAATGGTCTTAGGAAAGGGGTAAGCAGCCACTTCTTGCAGGGATAACCACTGTCACCGAGGAGGTGACATCCGATGGGGAGAACATTGCGCTCGAAAAGCTGGTAGAGCCCGCTGTTTGTCAACATGCGTGAATCGTGTGTCGATCCCGGCCACCGAGCAACAACGTCAATGACTCTGTCGTCGCTGTCAAAAGCGATCTGCGTATTTATGCTGTGATAGTGATGTCGGTTTACGAATTCATTTTCGTTTACTGTTGGTGCCTGGATTTGTACGTGGGTTCCATCGATCACCCCGACAACTCCGGGAAAGTTCGCAATATGATAAAAGTTTGTTTGGTGACGCCTAATGTCCCCGAGTTGCAGGGGGAAGCGGACAAACTGTTTAACAATCCTTTCAGATGACAAACTGGTGATACACTGATTTACAACTCTGGAAATGGTGGGCTGGGTGACACCTTGATCATCTGCATTACACAACTGAAACTTTCCCGTTGCAAAGTACCTTAATGTGATCAGCGTCTTTTGTATCTCGTCAAGTGCGTGGTTACGGTTGGTTGCAGGCTCCACGTCAGCTGCTATTAAATTAGCTACGTACCTAATGCCATTTCCATCTAAACGGTATCGCCGTATCAACTCATCATCGTTGTATTCAACAAGACTTTGTCTTCTTTGATGAAACGAACGACGACCTAGCGGTACGGCAGCCATTTTGTTTACTGACTTAAGTCAAACACCTTGTAGTTAAACCTACCCCTACCCAGTCTTAAGATTTAAGTCAGAAATTGGTAAAACTTAAGCCTAAGTTGCTTCATGAATATGACTTAAGTAAAATCTTAAAACTTAAGTCAGAAAAGGTAAAAAACTTAGTTTTTTTCAAGACTTAAGTTTTTTTTCAGACTTAAGTTCTTTTATGAATACCGCCCCATGTTAACAGTGACCTGGAATGAAGCACATCATTTATTTTGCGTTGTTTTTTCTGCGATGATTGGTCGTGTGCGTAACTCCAGCATGCGTTGACATTTTGTGTTTACATGGTGCAACACCGGATTGGTGCCCGTAAAATAAAATTCATTTATGAGGTAATAACATAAGAGACAGAGGTGAGTAATTTAATCGCCAAATAACTATGTTGTAACTAACTAGGCTTATGTTTGCTTCACATTCAGCGTGTTTATTCCACAATCACTTATACACACCGTCTCCAACAGTTGTTAATACAACTGTAAAAACAACGGGAATCGATTTCAGCTTCACCGGATATCACATGTTAGGTCACATGTGAAATATGCAAATGCTTACCAGTACTTCGGCTCTCTACTCACGGATGTTGATTGTTTTACCGTGTCAGCTGGCTTGACAATCTGGATCGGGGCGAGGGTCATTTCAACTTTATTTGCAGAAAATATTCAACTTTATTAAAGAAAACAGATACAAATCATGTTTATGTGTGGAAATAGTTACTGAAACAGTTATTTAGGACGAAAAAAGTTTTATTGTCAAATGCTGGGCTGGCTCTCGAACGCCAGTTGACAGTGGAAGCTGAAAGTGAAACAACTGGAAAAAAAACCCTGAGATCTTGGACCCCCCTTCTTAACCCCCTCATTCTCGGTAGGAAAAACTCGCCTTATACACAGCGATATACGGAAAATACAAACTGTTGCACTGACTGTCATGCTACATGCTGGGTGCTCGTAGAGATAAAGTGGTCCGTAGTTGATCAGTGGGCGCCATCAGTCATGTGGCCATTGGCGATCTTAATGTTTAGTCTGAAACATGCTATGTTGTTACCATGGTTTCCATTTGTAAAGCAGAAGGAAGAAACGGAGGAGAAGAAGGAGACCAACGATGAGTCATGTGACGTCCTGGCAGTTCCGCCCATCATGTCCAACGACAGTCTGCTGTTCTCGTACTGGAAAATGTCAGTAAGTGACCACATATGGACAATCATGTTGCAGCTCTTACGAAATACACCATAAATAGGACTCTGTCTCTTCTTGCTTTTGTAAAAAGAAGTGGGTTGTATATAAATCAAAACCCAACCAAACAACAATTGTTGCCTCACCTGACTGAACACCAAGTGAGGTTATGTCATGGCGCATTGTCCATCGTTTTTCCGGTTGTTTTTCCATTGTAAAGTTTTGCTGTTTTAACATCTGTGAAACTACATGGCCTTTGGAGCTGTAACCGTGTATGAATGATCCAAGCTCTCTAAATAAATGCTCACAGAGTTTAAAAATTGCTGCCAGAGTGGCCATATTGAAAATGTCATTTTTGGCCGTTTTTATTAGATTTGATATTTCCTGCCATTATCTTAGATCCTGCAACAAACAAGCCTACCACCAGATTTCATCAAATTGTCTGCATACACTGGGGAGCAAAGAACCAGTAGGTTTTTGTATATGGTTGCCATGGAAACCAAACGTGACTTTGAAAAGAAGGTTGTTGGTAGGATGTTCTAGGCAAAGTTTCATCATCCAACACCTTTTGAAACAAGATGAAATGGTGAAACAATTCAAGCAGGCCCAAGCTGTCCACAGACAATGGGCCATTGTTTTGGACAATTTGATGAAATATCAAGGTCTACCACAATAGAGACTATTTTTCTCACTTAACAGCATTCTAAAAATAATTGCCTCCAGTGAGTGAGTATGGATTTTACGCCGTTTTTAGCAATATTCCTGCAATATCACGACAGGGGACACCAGTAATGGGCTTTGGCGTGACGTGCGACCGCTTTAACCACTAGGCTACCCAACCACCCCTTGCCTCCATTGTCTCATGCATAAAAACAAAGAATGTGAAGTTTACAAGTACAGATATCTACACGTACATTTCCGATTAAGTCTGTATGTAATCATCCTTCTTTGTGTAACACCAAGAACCTTTCATAACACCTGATGATTGATAGTCAGATAGGCATTACTTAGAAGTTGAGGGCAGACAAAGTAGATTTATGGAAAACAACTTCTTTAATTACTGTAAAGGTGACGTTTCGGTATAGATCTTTATACTGTTGTCAAGCAAGGCTGACAAGTATCCACAAATTGTGTCGACTTTGTCACCCGACAATTAGCGAAAGCTTCTACACGTTTATTGCATTCTCAGGACGCAAAATCCTTTCGATCCTTAGCATCGTTTATTTGTGCAGGAAACCCAGTGGCATCCAAAGTGATTGAAGCAGAAAATTATTTGCAATGATGGTCGCCGGAACATAACTTGTCATCTTGGTTTCTCTTACCACATCATATAGCCAGGTGAGCTTCAGAGCCTTGTGCCTGTATTGAAGTCTGTGGAACAGGTGAGCTTCAGAGCCTTGTGCCTGTATTGAAGTCTGTGGAACAGGTGACCTTCAGAGCCTTGTGCCTGTATTGAAGTCTGTGGAACAGGTGAGCTTCAGAGCCTTGTGCCTGTATTGAAGTCTGTGGAACAGGTGAGCTTCAGAGCCTTGTGCCTGTATTGAAGTCTGTGGAACTGGAAGTTGTTGACTACGGATAACAAAACCAGGAACTCATGCTTCTCAGTTAGATTATTTAACTTCCTAGTAGTAGAGCTACATGTTGATTTACACAGTTGGTCCTGGGTACCTGGCTGCCAGCCTTGTCAGATCTGTACAGTCACACAGTGTACACAGTTGGTCCTGGGTACCTGGCTCCCCAGCCTTGTCAGACCTGTACAGTCACACAGTGTACACAGTTGGTCCTGGGTACCTGGCTCCCCAGCCTTGTCAGACCTGTACAGTCACACAGTGTACACAGTTGGTCCTGGGTACCTGGCTCCCCAGCCTTGTCAGACCTGTACAGTCACACAGTGTACACAGTTGGTCCTGGGTACCTGGCTCCCCTTCCTTATCAGATCTGTACAGTCACACAGTGTACAGAGTGGTCCTGGGTACCTGGCTCCCCAGCCTTGTCAGACCTGTACAGTCACACAGTGTACACAGTTGGTCCTGGGTACCTGGCTCCCCAGCCTTGTCAGACCTGTACAGTCACACAGTGTACAGAGTTGGTCCTGGGTACCTGGCTCCCCAGCCTTGTCAGACCTGTACAGTCACACAGTGTACAGAGTGGTCCTGGGTACCTGGCTCCCCAGCCATGTCAGACCTGTACAGTCACACAGTGTACACAGTTGGTCCTGGGTACCTGGCTGCCAGCCTTGTCAGACCTGTACAGTCACACAGTGTACACAGTTGGTCCTGGGTACCTGGCTGCCAGCCTTGTCAGACCTGTACAGTCACACAGTGTACAGAGTGGTCCTGGGTACCTAGCTGCCAGCCTTGTCAGACCTGTACAGTCACACAGTGTACAGAGTTGGTCCTGGGTACCTGGCTGCCCAGCCTTGTCAGACCTGTACAGTCACACAGTGTACACAGTTGGTCCTGGGTACCTGGCTGCCAGCCTTGTCAGACCTGTACAGTCACACAGTGTACACAGTTGGTCCTGGGTACCTGGCTGCCAGCCTTGTCAGACCTGTACAGTCACACAGTGTACACAGTTGGTCCTTGGTACCTGGCTCCCCAGCCTTGTCAGACCTGTACAGTCACACAGTGTTCAAAGTGGTCCTGGGTACCTGGCTGCCAGCCTTGTCAGACCTGTACAGTCACACAGTGTACACAGTTGGTCCTGGGTACCTGGCTCCCCAGCCTTGTCAGACCTGTACAGTCACACAGTGTACACAGTTGGTCCTGGGTACCTGGCTGCCAGCCTTGTGAGACCTGTACAGTCACACAGTGTACACAGTTGGTCCTGGGTACCTGGCTCCCCAGCCTTGTCAGACCTGTACAGTCACACAGTGTTCAGAGTGGTCCTGGGTACCTGGCTCCCCAGCCTTGTCAGACCTGTACAGTCACACAGTGTACACAGTTGGTCCTGGGTACCTGGCTCCCCAGCCTTGTCAGACCTGTACAGTCACACAGTGTACACAGTTGGTCCTTGGTACCTGGCTGCCCAGCCTTGTGAGACCTGTACAGTCACACAGTGTACACAGTTGGTCCTGGGTACCTGGCTGCCCAGCCTTGTCAGACCTGTACAGTCACACAGTGTACACAGTTGGTCCTGGGTACCTGGCTCCCCAGCCTTGTCAGACCTGTACAGTCACACAGTGTACAGAGTGGTCCTGGGTACCTGGCTGCCCAGCCTTGTCAGACCTGTACAGTCACACAGTGTACACAGTTGGTCCTGGGTACCTGGCTCCCCAGCCTTGTCAGATCTGTACAGTCACACAGTGTACAGAGTGGTCCTGGGTACCTGGCTGCCCAGCCTTGTCAGACCTGTACAGTCACACAGTGTACAGAGTTGGTCCTGGGTACCTGGCTGCCAAGCCTTGTCAGACCTGTACAGTCACACAGTGTACACAGTTGGTCCTGGGTACCTGGCTCCCCAGCCTTGTCAGACCTGTACAGTCACACAGTGTACACAGTTGGTCCTGGGTACCTGGCTGCCAGCCTTGTCAGACCTGTACAGTCACACAGTGTACACAGTTGGTCCTGGGTACCTGGCTCCCCAGCCTTGTCAGACCTGTACAGTCACACAGTGTACAGAGTTGGTCCTGGGTACCTGGCTCCCCAGCCTTGTCAGACCTGTACAGTCACACAGTGTACAGAGTGGTCCTGGGTACCTGGCTCCCCAGCCATGTCAGACCTGTACAGTCACACAGTGTACACAGTTGGTCCTGGGTACCTGGCTGCCCAGCCTTGTCAGACCTGTACAGTCACACAGTGTACAGAGTGGTCCTGGGTACCTGGCTGCCAGCCTTGTCAGACCTGTACAGTCACACAGTGTACACAGTTGGTCCTGGGTACCTGGCTGCCAGCCTTGTCAGACCTGAACAGTCACACAGTGTACAGAGTTGGTCCTGGGTACCTGGCTGCCCAGCCTTGTCAGACCTGTACAGTCACACAGTGTACAGAGTTGGTCCTGGGTACCTGGCTGCCAGCCTTGTGAGACCTGTACAGTCACACAGTGTACAGAGTTGGTCCTGGGTACCTGGCTGCCCAGCCTTGTCAGACCTGTACAGTCACACAGTGTACAGAGTGGTCCTGGGTACCTGGCTGCCCAGCCTTGTCAGACCTGTACAGTCACACAGTGTACAGAGTTGGTCCTGGGTACCTGGCTGCCCTTCCTTGTCAGATCTGTACAGTCACACAGTGTACAGAGTGGTCCTTGGTACCTGGCTGCCCAGCCTTGTCAGACCTGTACAGTCACACAGTGTACACAGTTGGTCCTGGGTACCTGGCTGCCCAGCCTTGTCAGACCTGTACAGTCACACAGTGTACACAGTTGGTCCTGGGTACCTGGCTGCCAGCCTTGTCAGATCTGTACAGTCACACAGTGTACACAGTTGGTCCTGGGTACCTGGCTGCCCAGCCTTGTCAGATCTGTACAGTCACACAATGTACAGAGTTGGTACAATTTCAGCGGCGGCTGGCAGTGACATCTCGGTTCCTGCAGCGGTGGCTGTCTAGCTGGATTGCATTCATCTTCATCTGGTGTGCTGACTACATCATATTCTGGGCCAACCACAGCGCCACCCTCACCGGCATCCTGCAGTTCGTTTTCCCCCTCCTCGTCCTTCTGCTGATCTGCTCCGCCTATGCAGAGGTCAACGCTGAGGGTCAGAGGCTCATCAAGGTATGCTCAGCTCCAGCCTGCTTTGGATTTCCCCGCGAAACTTCTGAGTCTCCTTTATCCCGTCTGTGTCCTGTCCATCTTGTGTGTCCTGTCCATCTTGTGTGTCCTGTCCATCTTGTATGTCCTGTCCATGCTGTATGTCCTGTCCATGCTGTATGTTCTGTCCATCTTGTATGTCCTGTCCATGCTGTATGTCCTGTCCATGCTGTATGTCCTGTCCATATTGTATGTCCTGTCCATGCTGTATGTCCTGTCCATGCTGTATGTCCTGTCCATGCTGTATGTCCTGTCCATCTTGTATGTCCTGTCCAACTTGTATGTTCTGTCCATCTTGTGTGTTCTGTCCATCTTGTATGTCCTGTCCATCTTGTGTGTTCTGTCCATCTTGTTGTGTTCTGTCCATCTTGTATGTACTGTCCATGCTGTATGTCCTGTCCATCCTGTATGTCCTGTCCATGCTGTATGTCCTGTCCATCTTGTGTGTTCTGTCCATCTTGTGTGTTCTGTCCATCTTGTGTGTTCTGTCCATCTTGTATGTCCTGTCCATGCTGTATGTCCTGTCCATCCTGTATGTCCTGTCCATGCTGTATGTCCTGTCCATCTTGTGTGTTCTGTCTATCTTGTGTGTTCTGTCTATCTTGTGTGTTCTGTCCATCTTGTGTGTTCTGTCCATCTTGTGTGTTCTGTCCATCTTGTATGTCCTGTCCATGCTGTATGTCCTGTCCATCTTGTGTGTTCTGTCTATCTTGTGTGTTCTGTCCATCTTGTATGTCCTGTCCATCTTGTGTGTTCTGTCCATCTTGTGTGTTCTGTCTATCTTGTGTGTTCTGTCCATCTTGTATGTCCTGTCCATCTTGTATGTTCTGTCCATCTTGTGTGTTCTGTCCATCTTGTGTGTTCTGTCTATCTTGTATGTCCTGTCCATGCTGTATGTCCTGTCCATCTTGTATGTCCTGTCCATCTTGTATGTCCTGTCCATCTTGTATGTTATGTCCATGCTGTATGTCCTGTCAATGCTGTATATCCTGTCCATGCTGTATGTCCTGTCCATCTTGTATGTTCTGTCTATCTTGTATGTCCTGTCCATCTTGTATGTCCTGTCCATCTTGTATGTCCTGTCCATCCTGTACGTTCTGTCCATCTTGTATGTTCTGTCCATCCTGTACGTTCTGTCCATCCTGTATGTCCTGTCCATCTTGTATGTCCTGTCCATGCAATATGTCCTGTCCATGCTGTACGTTCTGTCCATGCTGTATGTCCTGTCCATCTTGTATGTCCTGTCCATCCTGTACGTTCTGTCCATCTTGTATGTTCTGTCCATCCTGTACGTTCTGTCCATCCTGTATGTCCTGTCCATCTTGTATGTCATGTCCATGCTGTATGTCCTGTCCATGCTGTACGTTCTGTCCATCTTGTATGTCCTGTCCATCTTGTATGTCCTGTCCATGCTGTATGTCCTGTCCATGCTGTACGTTCTGTCCATCTTGTATGTTCTGTCTATCTTGTATGTCCTGTCCATCTTGTATGTCCTGTCCATCTTGTATGTCCTGTCCATCTTGTATGTCCTGTCCATCTTGTATGTTATGTCCATGCTGTATGTCCTGTCAATGCTGTATATCCTGTCCATGCTGTATGTCCTGTCCATCTTGTATGTTCTGTCTATCTTGTATGTCCTGTCCATCTTGTATGTCCTGTCCATCTTGTATGTCCTGTCCATCCTGTACGTTCTGTCCATCTTGTATGTTCTGTCCATCCTGTACGTTCTGTCCATCCTGTATGTCCTGTCCATCTTGTATGTCCTGTCCATGCTGTATGTCCTGTCCATCTTGTATGTCCTGTCCATCCTGTACGTTCTGTCCATCCTGTATGTCCTGTCCATCTTGTATGTCCTGTCCATCCTGTATGTCCTGTCCACCTTGTATGTCCTGTCCGTGCTGTATGTCCTGTCCATGCTGTATGTCCTGTCCATCTTGTATGTCCTGTCCATGCTGTATGTCCTGTCCATCTTGTATGTCCTGTCAATCCTGTATGTCCTGTCCACCTTGTATGTCCTGTCCATGCTGTATGTCCTGTCCATGCTGTATGTCCTGTCCATGCTGTATGTCCTGTCCATCTTGTATGTCCTGTCCATCTTGTATGTCCTGTCCATCCTGTACGTTCTGTCCATCTTGTATGTTCTGTCCATCCTGTATGTTCTGTCCATCCTGTATGTCCTGTCCATCTTGTATGTCCTGTCCATCCTGTACGTTCTGTCCATCTTGTATGTTCTGTCCATCCTGTATGTACTGTCCATGCTGTATGACCTGTCCATCCTGTATGTCCTGTCCATCTTGTATGTTCTGTCCATCCTGTATGTTCTGTCCATGCTGTATGTCCTGTCCATCTTGTATGTCCTGTCCATCTTGTATGTTATGTCTATATTGTATGTCCTGTCCATCCTGTACGTTCTGTCCATCTTGTATGTCCTGTCCATCTTGTATGTCCTGTCCATGCTGTATGTCCTGTCCATGCTGTACGTTCTGTCCATCTTGTATGTTCTGTCTATCTTGTATGTCCTGTCCATCTTGTATGTCCTGTCCATCTTTTATGTCCTGTCCATCTTGTATGTCCTGTCCATCTTGTATTTCCTGTCCATGCTGTATGTCCTGTCCATGCTGTATGTCCTGTCCATCTTTCGTGTTCTGTCCATCTTGTGTGTTCTGTCTATCTTGTATGTCCTGTCCATCCTGTATGTCCTGTCCATCCTGTATGTCCTGTCCATGCTGTATGTCCTGTCCATCTTGTGTGTTTGTCCATCTTGTATGTCCTGTCCATCTTGTATGTCCTGTCCATCTTGTGTGTTCTTTCCATCTTGTCAGTCCTGTCCATCTTGTATGTCCTGTCCATCCTGTATGTCCTGTCCATCTTGTATGTCCTGTCCATCCTGTATATCTTGTATGTCCTGTCGATGCTGTATGTCCTGTCCATCTTGTATGTCCTGCCCATCTTGTGTGTCCTGTCCATCTTGTATGTCCTGTCCATCTTGTGTGTTCTGTCCATCTTGTCAGTCCTGTCCATCTTGTATGTCCTGTCCATCCTGTATATCTTGTATGTCCTGTCCATGCTGTATGTCCTGTCCATCTTGTATGTCCTGTCCATCTTGTGTGTTCTGTCCATCTTGTGTGTTCTGTCCATCTTGTATGTCCTGTCCATCTTGTATGTCCTGTCCATGCTGTATGTCCTGTCAATCTTGTATGTCCTGTCCATGCTGTATGTCCTGTCCATCCTGTATGTCCTGTCCATCTTGTATGTCCTGTCCATCCTGTATGTCCTGTCCACCTTGTATGTCCTGTCCGTGCTGTATGTCCTGTCCATGCTGTATGTCCTGTCCATCTTGTATGTCCTGTCCATGCTGTATGTCCTGTCCATCTTGTATGTCCTGTCCATGCTGTATGTCCTGTCCATGCTGTATGTCCTGTCCATGCTGTATGTCCTGTCTATCTTGTATGTCCTGTCCATCTTGTAGGTCCTTTCCATCCAGTATGTCCTGTCCATCTTGGCTTCCATTGTCTATTGCTAATCACCTATCAGCGTCAATTATCTGCTGTCTTCCCTTGTTAGTTTCCACCTTTTGTTATCTTCTTACTTTTGTTGTTCTTACCTGTACATCTATCTGCTCTCTGCCTCATGGCATCCATTCACCTGATGAAGGAGTAAGCCTATACTCTGAAACGTTGTGTTCCTCATCATAAAGAAGTTGACATCCATACATTCTCTTCCTTATGTGTAGCACTTCTAAACCCTTTAAGGACCTAATGAAATCATTGAGAGACACTTTTATTTTATGATTATTTGGTAGGTGAGATTTGAACATTCATGTTCCAGTGTATCTGCCCAACGGAGAGGCGGCTGCGCCTCTTGCAGTTCTTCATCCAGCAGCCGTTGCAGATGCAGGTAGGTGCAGCAAAGAGCAATAATGTCATCACTACATCACTGCCAGTATTAGGATATATAAGTTAGCTATGCGACAAAACACAAAGAGCAATGAAGAATGAAGCACTGTTTATTTCATGATAAAACATTGTTCTATCATGACGTCATTTCTGGAGATTTGAATATGTGCTCGCAACTTGACGACATCATATATTGGACAACATTATTTTTGAGAGGGAAGTGTCGAGTAAGTTGTTCTCCATAGATGTAGTTGGGCTACGCAGATAAACGCAGTGGTTGAACGATTGCATCCAAGGGTGGGAGAGATGACAATCTGTATTAGGAGAAAAGGTACAGCTAATCGATGTGAGGATTGTGAGAATATGAGAATATTGTGGAAACTACCAAAGTTACTTACACACCTGTTCGTAAAATGGACTTGTCCGACATTTCTGAGATCGGATTCTAATTCAGGGAGTCATCTTTATTAACATTTGGGTATATATTTTTAAAGCTTGTACATTTTATCAACATCCTTAAAGAGGCTGTACATAATGTTGATATCTCATATTAGAAATAAACGACTGATAACCCGTTCAGTCAGTAAGGTCTGTCATTACCGCTGACTGCTGCTTCTTTCTCCGTGCAGGTGTTCAGCTTCCCCATCACATACAACGCCATCCTAGGTGTCATCCTGGCATTCTCTGTCGCCTTTGCCTCTCGGATCGTCCTGGACGAAGTCTTGTAAACTCTGCATGCAGGCGCCATTCCATGCTCAATGTCCTCGCACCAGGAGGATACGTGTTTCAATTTAGTGAAAAAGGGAGATAACTGCAAACAACCTTTTTGTTCATTAAATGTTCTGTGATCTTGATCTTTTCATATGAATATGTACAAAGATTGATGTGTTGTGTCATGTAAATATGTACAAAGATTGATGTTGTGTCATGTGAATATGTACAAAGATTGATGTTGTGTCATGTGAATATATACAAAGATTGATGTTGTGTCATGTGAATATGTACAAAGATTGATGTTGTGTCATGTGAATATATACAAGGATTGATGTTGTGTCATGTGAATATGTACAAAGATTGATGTTGTGTCATGTGAATATGTACACAGATTGATGTTGTGTCATGTGAATATGTACAAAGATTGATGTTGTGTCATGTGAATATGTACAAAGATTGTTATCTTACCTACATGTCAGAATGTTGAGGTCTGATTGGTTCACATGATCTCCCGGCTGGGAGGAAAATAAGTTTCTGAGTGGGAGAATAAATCCCTTATACCCCACCACAAAGCGAAAGGACGCACATTGTTTACAAATCAATGAAAATGAAACTCAGCACAAGTCAACTTCAGCTCAATCGAACAGCTGTTTGCCATCAAGTTCAATTATAGAAACAATAGCAGATTGAAACATGTAAATGGTAACCAATGACGTTACAATGGTCTGCAAAGCATTGTGAAGCAATTTCATTGCAGCGATATCTACAATGTAGGTATCGCTTGATCTCACCTAAGTGATATTTCCTTACATGATAAATGTACATACTGTGTGTACATCGAAACATTCCACACGACCAATGGAGTCTTTTACATGCATATTCATCTATTTATAAGTTACCCAAATGAAATTTAAAGAATACTTTTAATGATATAAAGTATATTTTATTCTAACTGTAACTTGAGGGTTTTGTAGTGTTCATGTTACAGGCCTGACAGGGTGGTCTACCACATCATTCCAGTGTTTTACTGAGCAATTTGTCAACTGTTTTATTACAATGACTGAGTTCACTGCAATGTTTTATTGTTGTTGATATAGTGATGAATGTGGAGGTGATTTGTACCTGTGTTTCTGTCAGGGTCGTAGTGCGATGTTCCTGCAGTGAAGGGGGCACGGGTGGCCCAGTCATCTAAGGCGCCACGCTTCGCTGTGGAGAGTTGCGTCCCTTGGGCATGCTAGAAATCTATGATTGTAGGTTTGAATCCCGGTTCGCTCCGATTATCGATTATGTTTCTAGGTTTGGCAGCACCATACCCGTGCTCATGGGTTTCACCAAAGTGGTAAACGTTTGACACCTGCATCACTTCGGGCTTTCCTCCCACATTAAGCTGACACGCCATAATATAACTAAAATACTGTTAAAGCGGCGTTAAGCCCAACTCACTCACTCACTCACTCACTCACTCACTCACGCAGTGAAACATTTACTCACTCACGCAGTGAAACATCTCATGCTGAACATGTCCATCGTTTAGTTCATGGGTTATTGGTGTGTATCCAGAAAGTTGGTTTAATCCTCTCTTTATGTGATGTAGGCGATGGTTGCCACTGTCATTGCCAGGAACAGTCAGTACAATAACACAGATCTGTATTTACTGGAAACATGATTGAATGTTGTAAGATGAATTCAATATTTTATTCCTGAAATATGTTTAGCTTTGCCCTTCAACACAAGGAATCAGATTATCTTTTCAGGATTAATACAAATTGCCCATCTATTCTTGCCAATGTTGATTGGTCAACACATACTGTTTGAATCAGATTCTGGGTCTCTTTAATACAAAATACATGAATGTGCACTAAATGTGACACAAGACCCTTTGTTTGTAAGCCCTGAGCTGTTTTGTCACACAACAGACTTCCAGTCTCCACATCGAACCAAGCTAAAAGTCCACATGCCTTTTCCCACCATGACACCTGAATTTGTTCAAGAGGGTTGAATCCGAATTTCTATATGGCCACCACATGGAGAAGCTACTTATGGTATAATGTGATGTCACTTCTTTTTTTAGAATTTTATTCTTTAGTTGCTTTTATCAACATTTTACAGGAAAACAAAATAACAATGGCCTCCATGTCATATGAACTAACATGGATCTCTGTACATATAGAACAGCACTGGAGTGGAAACGTGTATATAGATTCTGAAATATATATAGAAATATTAGTTGTAAGATATGGTGCAGTCTTCTGTATTGGAACCATTGTAAACTAGCATCTTTAGAACATCTAATGGGAATTACATTGTAGTGTGGCCAATCATGGCATCTTGTAGGATGAAGACACAGTTTGTCAAGTGTTGAATATTTTGGCATAACACACTTATCAACAGTTAATAGTAATATTGAGTTCCTGTTGAAATTCAAGAGTTATTGAATCTAAATTTCTATATGGTTGCCATATGGAAAAAGCAACTTATGGCCATAAAGAGGTTTCATTTTAAAACATTTGTTGTTCTGACAAAAATGTTGACATTCCTATGATTTCACTGGGAACTGTACTGACTGATCACTATATGTAAGGAGCTAGCATAGTTTCTAATGGCTCTTACATCGTTAGTTAAGACTCCATTTGCTTTGTACTGAAAATATTTTTTCTGTAGCTTTGTCGCTTCGTTGACAATACAGCCATTTAACACTACGGTCATCCGGTATCGTATTCATAGTATTCCAGCCTACAAAGCCCAATATTTATGTGGGAGGCATCACACATCATGTCTATGAGTGGGCAGTCATTGACTGTCCCATACATCCAAGAATTTGTTCCGCAGCAGTAGCCTTGTTGCTATTGTGTTCTCTCATCACCCCGTAGACCTGGGTGTTTTTTGTTTGTTTGATTGTTGTTTTAACGCCGCACTCAGCAATATTTCAGCTATATGATGGCAGTCTGTAAATAATAAATCCTGGACCAGACAATCCAGTGATTGAGCATCGATCCACGCAAATGGAATACGATGACATGTATCAACCAACTCAGCAAGCCTGAGCCCCCAATCCCCTCAGTCGCCTCTTATGACAAATGTAGTCGCCAGGGTCTGTGGGACAGATTAGCATCCTTGCGACTGTGCTTCCTATGTACTTGTATGCAGTGCAATACCATTGGATGATGTTCTCAATTGTTTTATATCAAACATTTTTTATCTGTGTCAAAATTTGTCATTAAAACCTATCACCTGACTTTTGTTTGGTCTATTATATGAAATCATCCACTACTCAGTCACTCACAGAAACTCCCTACATGCATCCCTGTGTCGCCACACATTGCAGAGGGAGCTCGGTCACTCACAGAATCTCCCTCCATGCATCCCTGTGTCGCCATACATCACAGAGGGAGCTCGGTCACTCACAGAATCTCCCTACATGCATCCCTGTGTCGCCATACATCACAGAGTGAGCTCGGTCACCCACAGAATCTCCCTCCATGCATCCCTGTGTCGCCATACATTGCAGAGGGAGCTCGGTCACTCAGAGAATCTCCCTATATGCATCCCAGTGTCGCCATACATTGCAGAGGGGGCTCGGTCACACACAGAATCTCCCTACATGCATCCCTGTGTCGCCATACATCACAGAGGGAGCTCAGTCACTCACAGAACCTCCCTACATGCATCCCTGTGTCGCCACACATTGCAGAGGGAGCTCGGTCACTCACAGAATCTCCCTCAATGCATCCCTGTGTCGCCATACATCACAGAGGGAGCTCCGTCACTCACAGAATCTCCCTACATGCATCCCTGTGTCGCCATACATCACAGAGTGAGCTCGGTCACCCACAGAATCTCCCTCCATGCATCCCTGTGTCGCCATACATTGCAGAGGGAGCTCGGTCACTCAGAGAATCTCCCTATATGCATCCCAGTGTCGCCATACATTGCAGAGGGGGCTCGGTCACACACAGAATCTCCCTACATGCATCCCTGTGTCGCCATACATCACAGAGGGAGCTCGGTCACTCACAGAACCTCCCTACATGCATCCCTGTGTCGCCATACATCACAGAGGGAGCTCAGTCACTCACAGAACCTCCCTACATGCATCCTTGTGTCACCATACATCACAGAGGGAGCTGTCACTCACAGAATCTCCCTCCATGCATCCCTGTGTTGCCATACATTGCAGAGGGAGCTCGGTCTCTCACAGAATCTCCCTCCATGCATCCCTGTGTTGCCATACATTGCAGAGGGAGCTCGGTCTCTCACAGAATCTCTCTACATGCATCCTTGTGTCACCATACATCACAGAGGGAGCTGTCACTCACAGAATCTCCCTCCATGCATCCCTATGTCGCCATACATTGCAGAGAGGGCTGTCACTCACAGAACCTCCCTACATGCATCCCTGTGTCGCCATACATCACAGAGGGAGCTGTCACTCACAGAACCTCCCTACATGCATCCCTGTTTCGCCATACATTGCAGTGGGAGCTTGGTCACTCACAGAATCTCCCTCCATGCATCCCTGTGTCGCCATACATAGCAGAGGGAGCTCGGTCACTCACAGAATCTCTCTACATGCATCCCTGTGTCTCCATACATCACAGATGGAGCTCGGTCACCCACAGAATCTCCCTACATGCATCCTTGTGTCGCCATACATTGCAGAGGGAGCTCGGTCACTCACAGAATCTCCCTCCATGCATCTCTGTGTCGCCATACATTGCAGAGGGAGCTCGGTCACTCACAGAATCTCTCTACATGCATCCCTATGTCTCCATACATCACAGATGGAGCTCGGTCACCCACAGAATCTCCCTACATGCATCCCTGTGTCGCCATACATTGCAGAGGGAGCTCGGTCACTCACAGAATCTCCCTCCATGCATCCCTGTGTTGCCATACATTGCAGAGGGAGCTCGGTCTCTCACAGAATCTCTCTACATGCATCTCTGTGTCACCATACATCACAGAGGGAGCTGTCACTCACAGAATCTTCCTCCATGCATCCCTGTGTCGCCATACATTGCAGACGGTGCTGTCACTCACAGAATCTCTCTACATGCATCCCTGTGTCGCCATACATCACAGAGGTAGCTCGGTCACTCACAGAATCTCCCTCCATGCATCTCTGTGTCGCCATACATTGCAGAGGGAGCTCGGTCACTCACAGAATCTCTCTACATGCATCCCTGTGTCGGCATACATCACAGAGGGAGCTCGGTCACCCACAGAATCTCCCTCCATGCATCCCTGTGTCGCCATACATCACAGAGGGAGCTCGGTCACTCACAGAATCTCCCTCCATGCATCCCTGTGTCGCCATACATTGCAGAGGGAGCTCGGTCACTCACAGAATCTCTCTACATGCATCCCTGTGTCTCCATACATCACAGATGGAGCTCGGTCACCCACAGAATCTCCCTACATGCATCCCTGTGTCGCCATACATTGCAGAGGGAGCTCGGTCACTCACAGAATCTCCCTCCATGCATCCCTGTGTTGCCATACATTGCAGAGGGAGCTCGGTCTCTCACAGAATCTCTCTACATGCAACCTTGTGTCACCATACATCACAGAGGGAGCTGTCACTCACAGAATCTTCCTCCATGCATCCCTGTGTCGCCATACATTGCAGACGGTGCTGTCACTCACAGAATCTCCCTACATGCATCCCTGTGTCGCCATACATCACAGAGGGAGCTGTCACTCACAGAACCTCCCTACATGCATCCCTGTGTCGCCATACATTGCAGAGGGAGCTCGGTCACTCACAGAACCTCCCTCCATGCATCTCTGTGTCACCATACATTGCAGAGGGAGCTCGGTCACTCACAGAATCTCTCTACATGCATCTCTGTGTCACCATACATTGCAGAGGGAGCTCGGGCACTCACAGAATCTCCCTCCATGCATCTCTGTGTCACCATACATTGCAGAGGGAGCTCGGTCACTCACAGAATCTCTCTACATGCATCCCTGTGTCGCCATACATCACAGAGGGAGCTCGGACACTCACAGAATCTCCCTCCATGCATCTCTGTGTCGCCATACATTGCAGAGGGAGCTCGGTCACTCACAGAATCTCTCTACACGCATCCCTGTGTCGCCATACATCACAGAGGGAGCTCGGTCACCCACAGAATCTCCCTCCATGCATCCCTGTGTCGCCATACATCACAGAGGGAGTTCGGTCACTCACAGAATCTCCCTCCATGCATCCCTGTGTCGCCATACATTGCAGAGGGAGCTCGGTCACTCACAGAATCTCTCTACATGCATCCCTGTGTCGCCATACATCACAGAGGGAGCTCGGTCACTCACAGAATCTCTCTACATGCATCCCTGTGTCTCCATACATCACAGATGGAGCTCGGTCACCCACAGAATCTCCCTACATGCATCCCTGTGTCGCCATACATTGCAGAGGGAGCTCGGTCACTCACAGAATGTCCCTCCATGCATCTCTGTGTCGCCATACATTGCAGAGGGAGCTCGGTCACTCACAGAATCTCCATCCATGCATCCCTGTGTCGCCATACATTGCAGAGGGAGCTCGGTCACTCACAGAATCTCTCTACATGCATCCCTGTGTCGCCATACATCATAGAGGGAGCTCGGGCACTCACAGAATCTCCCTCCATGCATCTCTGTGTCGCCATACATTGCAGAGGGAGCTCGGTCACTCACAGAATCTCCCTCCATGCATCTCTGTGTCGCCATACATCACAGAGGGAGCTCGGTCACTCACAGAACCTCCCTACATGCATCCCTGTGTCGCCATACATCACAGAGGGAGCTCGGTCACTCACAGAATCTCTCTACATGCATCCCTGTGTCTCCATACATCACAGATGGAGCTCGGTCACCCACAGAATCTCCCTACATGCATCCCTGTGTCGCCATACATTGCAGAGGGAGCTCGGTCACTCACAGAATGTCCCTCCATGCATCTCTGTGTCGCCATACATTGCAGAGGGAGCTCGGTCACTCACAGAATCTCCCTCCATGCATCCCTGTGTCGCCATACATTGCAGAGGGAGCTCGGTCACTCACAGAATCTCTCTACATGCATCCCTGTGTCGCCATACATCACAGAGGGAGCTCGGGCACTCACAGAATCTCCCTCCATGCATCTCTGTGTCGCCATACATTGCAGAGGGAGCTCGGGCACTCACAGAATCTCCCTCCATGCATCTCTGTGTCGCCATACATCACAGATGGAGCTCGGTCACTCACTGAATCTCCCTATATGCATCCCAGTGTCGCCATACATTGCAGAGGGGGCTTGGTCACACACAGAATCTCCCTACATGCATCCCTGTGTCGCCATACATCACAGAGGGAGCTCGGTCACTCACAGAACCTCCCTACATGCATCCCTGTGTCGCCATACATCACAGAGGGAGCTCGGTCACTCACAGAACCTCCCTACATGCATCCTTGTGTCACCATACATCACAGAGGGAGCTGTCACTCACAGAATCTCCCTACATGCATCCCTGTGTCGCCATACATCACAGAGGGAGCTGTCACTCACAGAATCTCCCTACATGCATCCCTGTGTCGCCATACATCACAGAGGGATCTGTCACTCACAGAATCTCCCTCCATGCATCCCTGTGTTGCCATACATTGCAGAGGGAGCTCGGTCTCTCACAGAATCTCCCTCCATGCATCCCTGTGTCTCCATACATCACAGATGGAGCTCGGACACCCACAGAATCTCCCTACATGCATCCCTGTGTTGCCATACATTGCAGAGGGAGCTCGGTCTCTCACAGAATCTCTCTACATGCATCCTTGTGTCACCATACATCACAGAGGGAGCTGTCACTCACAGAATCTCCCTCCATGCATCCCTATGTCGCCATACATTGCAGAGGGAGCTGTCACTCACAGAACCTCCCTACATGCATCCCTGTGTCGCCATACATCACAGAGGGAGCTGTCACTCACAGAACCTCCCTACATGCATCCCTGTGTCGCCATACATTGCAGAGGGAGCTCGGTCACTCACAGAACCTCCCTCCATGCATCCCTGTGTCGCCATACATAGCAGAGGGAGCTCGGTCACTCACAGAATCTCTCTACATGCATCCCTGTCTCTCCATACATAACAGATGGAGCTCGGTCACCCACAGAATCTCCCTACATGCATCCTTGTGTCGCCATACATTGCAGAGGGAGCTCGGTCACTCACAGAATCTCCCTGCATGCATCTCTGTGTCGCCATACATTGCA